GTTTAAACTTAATATAAAGTGTTGGAATTACTGATGAAACTGTTAGAATTTCGTTGATTGTTTTCTTTTAGACTGCGCCACGCCCTCGACTTTCTATTGAGTTTCGAAGTCTTCGACCCAGTGACAGGGCGAACATCACGTCCAGGAAATGGACGAAGCTTGCCCCTTATTAGAAGAGGTCTCGGTGCGGACTCTTTCTACTTCCATGATCAACACGACGGCCCTTCTGTTCGCTGTCAAAGGTATCGTAAAACATACCTAATACACTCCGATTCCGCCCAAAAATCCCCCGAACACGGGAAATTTCAAATTCCACACCTCGTTAGGATAAGAAGATGACCTTTATGCGAGAAATCCCGATCACTTTCAACCCTGCCCCGGCACTGACGGATTGGTGTGTGGTTCGTACAAACGAGATTTAAAAGCCCAGGATTCATAGTTCCTTTTCCAACACTATCCTCCTCTCGCGATTAAGGGCGATAGGTTCAGTACCCATTCCAGAAGCTCTGCGGCCAAAATAATCGGTCGGATACGTGGCGCAACTCACAACAGCTTGGCAATTCAACTCAATCTAATAGTAAGATAATTCTTTTGAAACTATCCATTACAATCTGCCGCCCATTTTCCAGGATTGGGGAGGAATTTTCCCAAAACCTTCCCTTTGCTTCGTCTTCAGGTCCGCCTCGGAGGTCAATCTAAATCGTAGAACACGAATATCGCATCAATTGGTGAGGGAGCGCTTTGGGTCCGTGCCACAGTCGCCCCCCCCCTTATCCCACTCGCTTAGCGCAAGAGCATGAGTGCGAATTCTAGACCCTTTCACAGTCCTCTTATGGTTAGTCAAAAATCCTTTCGAAGAAGTTGCCAACAATTTCGGTGATCCGTTAACACCTTTCATTGTCCTACATATAGCGCGCGCCAGGCGCCTTCTCGTCGAACGGATACAATCCTCGCATTCCATAGGTCAAGCTACCCCAAAGGTAATTTTTAGCCAAATTTAAGAGGGAAAAAATCGAGAAAAATTAACCGATCTTGGAAAAGCTAAGTCAGGAGTAGCAAATATGCTTTTCTTCCTAGTAAGGATTGAAACTAATCAGAACTGACCGTTCCTCCAGTGATCAACTTGCTGTTGGGCTCGTTCCTCTTCTTCATCTTCACGGACTCTCACCAACGATGAGAATGCTAATCGTTTCGGATCGATAATCTAAATCAAGCGAAGATTGAATGGACACCGGCTGATCACTCTTCTAGGCTTCAAAGCCGTTTTTGTACATACCTTCTTGAGAAGTTCGTTCTCCTCCTCGTCTTCGTCGTAGTCGGAATCGGTAGCGCTCTCGATAATTGTTCCATTTTTGATGTCACGAACACGTCGGAAGCGGAAGCGCCTCATCGCTGCTTCTCGTCGACGGCCACAGTTCATCTAGAGACACAAAATCAAAAATCGGCCCAATTGAGAAAATGCTATCACAGGTCCACTCCATTTTTTCGGGCACTCTTCTCCAAATCAACTTAGTCCAAATTTGCTGAGCCCAGAATTTGAGGCTAATTTGGATACTCATAAATTCCCTGACCCCCAGCCCAAAAAATCCAGCAACAACGGTTACCTCGGGGCAAACTCCTACACATGCGCTGCAATCGCACTGGAAGCGAATCATCGATCTGTCGGGCCATTGAAGTCCTGCAAGTTTTCAACAAGTACGCCATCCAATTTTCTAATGATCTGGACACGATTGAATTTCCAACATTACCCTTACCTGAAGACAGCTTCAGTCAAGCTCGGTCGAATTTTCGTCCATTCAGGGAATAGTTGGTCATCAATTGCGCAACCAGCCTTGTCGGTCAGTGAATACCGCTCACCGGTTTCGATATTAATGGCAAAGCAGTTACGAGGCAGGATCGAGTAGGTTTCTGAAACAAAGGGTCTCTTATAGATTTGTAGGTTTCCAGGAAAGAGTTAAGGGCCTACTTACCGTTAGGTGTGAACCTCTAGACGAAGGCGTAGAGCCTGCCCAACAACGGCGGCAGCGATGCTCTCGTCAGCCTCGTTGGTGACAGTAAGGCGACAGCTGGGACCGTGAGCGTTGTCGGTAAGTGTTGAAGACGTCGTCAAGTCAGAGACGTTCACGTTCGACTCCACCTAGAATGAGGACATTAGGTCCGAATCTTCCGCTTTGGGACAAGTTTTGTCGAGGACCATTAATTATGGTTCTAAAAGTCAGCCTTTTGCCTAATTCCAGATAGAGTTGGCATTGGTGGCATCTCATATTGGCTAGTATACTCCTCCCCCCCTTCGCACCACCAATTGAAATCTGCTCCAGGAGCCACTATGGAGTCCTAGCAACTTCAACGGGCTTCACTTGAAGGTCTAGAAAATAGATGGGCCCTTTTCGTTCCGTTCTTGTTACTGAACGCGATTTTGAGGGCTCCATCCCAGATAGCCTCTCAAACTAGATAGGGATAAGCAGAAAAAAAGGAGCTTAGCAAAACGCTAGAGGAATCCCTTCGGTGTTTGTTACGGCAATGAGAAAGCGGGCGTCTGAATATCCTACAGGGTAACAGACAGCTGGGTAACCATGAAAACGATCACGGATAAGGTGAGCACTAAGTAAAGCTGCAAAGGATGTTTTGGTCCTGCCAGATGGACCAGGCAAAATTTGATACCTCTCGAACTCCAACGGGATATGTGCATCGGAGGTCGTAGGCGTCGGCAGCCGTTGTGATGAACATCGGATGTTTTTGAACTATGACAGTGGTTGCGAAGGTGTCCTAAAGCACAATTATTGAGAGTAATAAGGGGCGGAGTTTCCCACAGCAACTCACATGATCTTCCAATCGAACGTTGCAATGCTCGAATGGAACTTTGAACATGTACGGTTTGGAGGCGTGCTGCAAAGGCGAGAACGTCTTTGCACAGTACGGATTTTCGGCTTGTCCTCGAACGAAGATCCTGCCTTCAAATGCGGTTGTCTCGTTACCGAGCACCAACGTCATACCATCAGGCTCGCA